TTTCTTCTCTTCTTTGGGCTCCTGGAGGCAGGTGCTACCACATTGGCTGAATAAATCTGAATAATGAAAATGATTGTACAATTCTTTTTAAGATGATGCACTTTAAAACCCTCAATGGATTTCAACATAGTTCAACATATTTCAACAAATACATACAAATATATACAAATACACCCCATCTTTCCCCACCAGCGCTACTACCACGAAGCCGAGAAGATCCGAGAAGATAAAACGCACTATACAATGCAATGGTCCAACCCTGCCACTACAAAATCATGGCTCCTGGATTGCCGTTTTTTGTCACTACAAATGATCTGGGGCCAGTACTGTGACTACAAATGATAGGTTTCTACCCAAAAATACCAAAAGAATGGGATCTGCTGTCTGCCCCATGAACCTTCCAGCAAACAACAAGCCATCACTTGCTCTGCTGTCCTCCGTCTGGACTCCTTGAACATGTGGTTCGCTGTCCTGGAAAAGAAGCTAAGTGAAGACTGGCGTTCCAATTGGGAGAAACAAATGCACATATCTGGAAAGTTTGTGCACACACACACACCTACTTACTTGTAGACACCCCTCATTCTGTAGCATGAGGGACTGGGCCCGTTCATTTTGTAGAAACATCTATTTTTCTAAAACGGATTATATAGAACGGTCATAATAGCTGCTTTATGCTGCTTTGGTCACTCTTTAGCATGTCTCACACCAAGCAAAAGAAGCCCTCCTGTGGAGGAGGCTGTAGGACTTGAGCCGTGTCTGCCCAAAACCCATGGGTCTTCAAAACCTCGTCGTAGGCCAGCATTTCCTGGTCCATGCGTCGCAGGATGTCGTCCTGCAAGCAGATGTAAACAACACCAGTGGAACACCATCAAGCTGCCCCTCACGCAGGTATCAGATAGCTTTAGAGACAGCGTGTGGTCAGCGTAAGTTTGTTTGGACCCAAGTTTGTATATATATATATATATATAAAAATCTACATATATACAGTATGCAAATAGATGAGACCAGCTGCAATGGGAACTTTCTGACTTCTCTTCCACTACGGCGCATTGCCAAGGTATATTGCAGGTGCAACTGCTACCTACAGCCTAAGGACATCTAAGGAAACTTAATTTGTGCATAGTTGTTCAACTTTTGCCATTATATACTTTCCATCTGCACTCTGTAAGCAGATGTAGGGAAGCAAAGGCAGGAACCGCGCAGCACTCAGCTATAGCCCATTCTATTCCATGCTGATCCATGCTGCTATTGTGCACAGCTCTGAAGCCTGGCCACTCTTCAAGAATCATGCTTGCTCTGATGGCTGCCGTGTTGTTGAGGCACTAGGTTGGTCGCTTTCTGCTTGGCCGCTTTCTGCTTGGCCAAAGTTCTCCTCCCAGCGGCGCAAGCGCAGGCGCAATTCGGCAACTTGAGTTGTAGGTCCATAGGTGATGTGTTTCTCATCACACATTTTCTTGAGCTCAGGCAAGCGCGCCTTGCTGACCTTCTGGGAGAATTCACTCTTGCATATTTTGCGTTCCTGGCCTTTGAAAGTACCTTGTTCAACACGATATTCTCGAACCATGTAGCGCAGTTCTTCTACTGTCAGCTCCTTCAGGTCAATCTCTGTCCCTTCTGTATCTGAAAGAGATGTCGCTGACTTCAACTCCTCCAAGCACTCTTTCCGGGACATCCGGTAGTGGGGTTTAATGGCAGGAGCCGGCATTGGGACCAAAGCAGCGCTCATGACCATCTTTCCCAAAGATTTGGTACAAACAGCTGCTTTCTGTCAGAGCTTTGGGCCAAACAGCTGAATTCCACACACCAGCTGCGCAGAAAACATGTGAAATACAGTAGTTTGAAAATGTTTGACATCTGGATCTCTGCCATTGTGTAGTGTTGCCACTGGACCCCTACCATTTTGTAGTGCACACCAATGAACATTCCCGTGAACATTCCGGAATCAAAAGATATCGATCAAAAGATTGCAAGGCAAATGAAAATCCAACGAAACAGCAATAGGCCTTTGAATGGCTTTGGTACTTGTCCCCACCAAACCCTTGCTTTCCCGTGTCCTCCTTCTTCTCTTCAGGCGCTACTTCCTGCATCCAGCTGGATGGTATTCTAGTCTACCAGTCTACCATTTTGAAATATATAATGTTATTGACACACTCTCATTTTGTAGTTGTTTTCATGGTGCCCCAACATTTTGTAGTGTCCAACACTTGCCAATACTTGCCATTTGAAACAATCTGGAAAAAGAAAACATATGACAAAGTTAACAGCTTGGAGATTCTTAGAGCCTAGATCCTGAAGCCTTCTCATGTCCCGTGACTAGTCCTCCTCCCCAGAAGGATGCAGCGATTCTTTCGCTTCAATTGCTGAAGTCTCCTGGCTGTCGGTTTGAATTGGGCCAACCTCGTCTTGAATTGGCCTAGAGATGGTCCAACTCATTCCCATTCTGATATGACCTACTGATCTGACATGATCTAACAAAAAACTCAGGAAAAAA